CGTAACTTTGAACGTGTGATTCCTACAAACATCAAGTAAACTATACTGAGCCTACGTAACTTTGAACGTGTGATTCCTACAAACATCAAGTAAACTATACTGAGCCTACGTAACTTTGAACGTGTGATTCCTACAAACATCAAGTAAACTATACTGAGCCTACGTAACTTTGAACGTGTGATTCCTACAAACATCAAGTAAACATCTCTAATGCTTAAATAGCGTTAACTCCTCGATTAATTCGGACTAACCTGCAAAATGGCATTAATTCATAATAAAAAAAGTATAGGTTCAACACTTTGCATCTTCCTTTATATATCTTTCATTGGGATATTATTTTTATAGAGATACTCAACTATTAAGTTTAGTTTAAATTATTCTGCAAATTTATGCTGTAGAAAGAATGACTATTGGTTTAGAATTTTGGGAAACTAAAGTTCTTACTCTGAGGCTTCAGTTTTAGAAATACGTTTTTACTATTTCAACTAACCTTATTGTAAAAACACTAGAAATGCCTAATGTACCATTTTGGGATACACCCATGACAACTATGGATTATCAGTTGTTCTTGTTTAACTCGCGTTATGACTTTCACCAGCATTTGGATGACCTTAAACTAATTATGCTTTTATTGCTAATTACGTTTAATCATGACTTTACTCAACCATGAAGGAAGTGCTCAGATGTCAGCAATAATTATCCTCACGTGCACTATGATACGAAGCAAGTTCACAACCATATTGCTTTGTCTTTACTAAAAGTCTTGAATGTCCGAACAGTTAACGCCCTCTTAAAATGGAAAGACAAAGCAGGCTGTTTAGTAAATTATTTTAAGAGAACGACCATAATATGTTAGAAAACAAATTAAAATAATACACCTCAATGGTATTATACAAAATTTGCTAAGCATTATTTTCAATTTTTTCAGCGGGTAAAATGTTATTAATCATTAATGGCATATTTCTCTCTTTTGTACTTTTAATTTGAAATTTTTTGCACACCCTTCTAAAGGATATTTAATTTCAGTAGTGTATACATTGTGGACTAGAAAATTTTCTAGAGATTTTCTTTGCCAATGCTTGATGCTGTTGGAAATCACTGTGAAGGACTTAACAAGGTGAACGAAACGTTGTTTAACTCAAGACTTCAAGCCAACAACAATCATCGAAACTTACCAGCCATCCTAAAAATTTAAATTATGTTTTCTACTGACTTGGAATTTTTTTAAATTGGGAATATTTATGCGTTTTGGACAAGAGTAAAAAGACTTTAAATTTGGATTACTTAACTTTAGCAGCTTTCTTTTTAAGATTTCAATGTCTTTGTATTGTTTTAGAACCAAGTAATGGAGTAACCTGTCTTACGTTATTTTGAGCTGCGTTGTGTTTAATATAACGATGGATAAGTTTACCATTCAAAACTTTGGAACGTTAGAACAGCTGACTATTTATTAAATAACTAAAATTACGATAGTCGGTATTATCTACAAAGATCTTGAAAACAAGATGATCTTTAACGTGTTAAGTCCGGACTTGTATCAAAATCTCTTTTCAATATTTTACAATAATCTTGAAATCTATTGTTGGAACTCCCAATACGTTTACAATGCTCAGAAGTTACAAAGAAAAATGCCACGACCCGTTTCAGAACTTAGCTTTTGCGTTTATTATTTATGCATATAAATATGATGTAATAAAACCTTCAATGTAAGAACTTCCCATGAAATTCTTGGATTTACTAATATTCTTGATATTTTGTTATGATTTTATCTGTTATTTTATGTCTCTTTTAAAACTTCAAAACACTTTAAAAAATGTAAATAAATACAGGGAAATTTACCAATTAATAATACCCGTATTTTATAGACGAACATGAATATCTGTTTGGTTTAAATTTTCGAAAACTTAAGATAGTCAGTTTACTCCTTATTTTTTAAAAATACAATAAAAATGTGGATACCAATGAGCTGCTTTCAGTCCATCTACCCTATTATACATGTTAATTGTGTGTTTATGCAAGTTATCTGGAAAGAAAACATAGAATTCTATCCCTCCCCCTTTAAAGATGTTTTCTCGACACAAAGCTGACATTTTTAGCTGAGGCATAATGGCTCATAGAATGGCCGAGTTTTTCAAGTACAAACTTTTAGCTCATAGCTCCGTCATCGCTTGATCGGTTTCAGATAGTTTTGGACTCAGGAGATCAAACCCTTTCGATCGATTTATTTGAACACACCCAAGGTCTCATAGATTAATTTATTCTTATCCTGCCTAAAAGAATTTCGATTTGAGAGTAGGCTGGTAGAGATCCTGATGAGTAATAAAATCGAATCGGGTATACGCGCGCCCCACGCTTGGTATTGCAGGCGCATAAAATATATATCTAATAAAAGGGGGGAAAAAGGTCTCACAGATTAATTTACTCTAATACTGCCTAAAATAATTTCACGTGCTGCGGCTATTGAGGATTCTTTCTTGTTAATTCATGTTTGTAAATACGTTATTATAAATCAAATAGAAATAAAGCCTGTTTTATGAACCAAAGATACATAAGAACGTCCTTGACTTCCCTTCCAAGGGAATACATTATATCTTGTTGCCAAATGCTCTGAATATAAGTTTATTATATCTTATGTGTTCGTTGGCTTTTTTGTTAAATTTTGTATACTATGAACACGTATAATGTTTTAAAGTAACTACATGTAAAACTAATGAGTTGCAGTTAATCAAAGCCAAAACGTTACTAAATTACGTTCTTACTAAGAATAATACCTGTTTTAAATGTAATAGTTATTCCTTCTACGCGGAGTATTGTACCTTTTCTTGAGAAAGTAGACTGTTCTCTAAAAAAATATAATCTTTAAACTATAACATAGCTCAAATAACAACAACAGGCTCGTAGAACAGCCGCGAATTCTGGATTAATTCACATTGTGCGTTTGTGATTTTGGAAATTGTTTTTCCCTCAAACTCCTCCGACAGATTTGTTGCTAATAGAAATAAATCTAACATGAAAACTCGAATGTAAAAGAAAAAAACTTCTGACTATAATTAAATACATACATAAATGAATTTCTATTTAACTAAATCTTATGCGTTTTTTTTTCTGTTCTGTAGCCACGTCGTTTACCCCCAATTTTGGAAACAAGCTTCAAAACGTAAGTATTTAGGCCTCGCAACTCATGTTTTATGTCGATTTCCAGACTTTGCTTTTTCGTAAATAATGATTGTTATTGAATTTAGAGATCAAATAACGTCATTTTTTGTAGTTAGATGTTATAAAACTACTCTGTTTTCCTTCATATTCTGTGCAATCACATGTAGAACAGCATTAACTGTGTTACGTTTGCATGATTGGGGAATTTCGTTACCAACTTTCAAATTACAATTCCAAAAAAAGCATTTTGTTCTTTTTTGAAAAAAAAGTGACACTAATAAAGTTTTGTGATTTTAAAATATTTTATACTTTTCTTCAGAAATATACTTTCTTCTTTAGCGTTAAGATTGAGGGTATAATCCCTGTAGTAGGCACAGAATAAATAGTCCGTTGTGTAGCTTTCCACTTAAAAAATATAATATAAAAATATAAAAAATATAATTGAACAATGTAGCTAACGTACTTGAATTAAGCAGAAAAGATAAAAAAAAATTTTTAAAATTCAATACTAAGCCAATTGAATTTTATGCTCAGTATGGTATTCTCAGGTGCACTGAGTTCCGTTAAGAGTAATTCGGGAAATTCTGCTGAATAAAAGAGGGTCCGACAGAAAATGTATCCCAGAAAAAAAGTGAATTTCCAGCGTCTACTGCATTTTAAGCAGAGGAAGTGAAAGGACACAATGTAAAGCATAGTAAAACAATCTTTATTCAATAAACACAAAAACACTTATTGACAAAACAGGGGCTTTTATGTCCGGAAGTAGCTCTCAGTGAAGTAGAAAAAGACGAGCGTGATCTCTTTAGAATCTCTGAAAATCTATTATATTCAGATAAAACATAGCATTATACACACGAGACAATAATGTTTTTCTCTTCAAGACCACTGGATCAATGTCCACTTCCACATAAAATGTTATGTTCCACTTTACAAAAATCTCACGAGAAAGCGTATGCATTAAGACGCATTGTACATTTAACGTGGTGAAGATATTTCACGTTTTTGATATTTTATGTCTTGCAACTGTCATACTGTATGCTGTTTCAATGAACTGCATTAATTTTTAGAAGTGATGAGCAGATAATATCACAATATGTTATCTAATATCTTCTCTAAGTTATTGGTTTGTTTCTTATTCCATGTTTTTAAATACAGTGGTTCTTTTACTCCTCTGTTATTTGCGCTGACCGATTTGTGTAATACACCTATAGCAAATCTGTTTGGATTTGATATTAACATACTGAGTCCTCGTCGAGACAAACACAGACAACACCTAAATACTTGTTGTTGGTTGTCTTGTGCATTTGTGTTTTACAGTGTTCTACTTGAGTTGGTAATTTTTTTTAAATTACGAATACAAATAATAATTTACATAAGAGAATGAATTACCTTCCTGATATAATAAATATTTTTAATTGTTTAATTTCGAAGTCTAAGTTCAAGGGAGGTCCAGTTCAATCTACACTTTGATCAACGTGTGTTATTGGGTTTTACTAGTTACGGAGAATTCCACTCCTAATCAGTAACCCTGAACACAAGTTAACCAAAGAGAGATAAGCTGGACCTATATCATAGTGCAGCTATATAATGTGAAGAACTGAATAGTGGCCAGTGACACTTTTTCTTCACTTCACCCATCCAGTGTATAGGTTTTCCTCATAGTGACTACAAAGCATGTTTACACCAACAGTATGTTTGATACCTTCCTGATGTCACATTGTTAACTGTTTTTATCTTACTTTTAAAATTCTAGCGTTGGATAACGTTAAGGATTAAAGCTATAACCATAATATCTGTAGAACTTTAGTATAATTTATTTGAGAAATTTCACTAGTCCTGATGGCTTTATATCGGAAAAAATAATGATAATTTTAATTTTATAATATTGCATCATATTCACTGTGGTCGGAAGTTATTATTATCCAGTTTCATTCAATAAAATAAATAGCTTCTCATTATGCTTATCTGTTTCAAACTTTTTTTATTTAAAAACATATTTATTCTTTAAAATATATGAATGAGTTATTAGTAAAGTGTTTTTCGATTTCTCAACCATCAATAAGCTCCTCTTGAAAAGTGTTTTATGCCTTCCTCAACCATCAATATGCTCCTCTTGAAAAGTGTTTTATGCCTTTCTCAACCATCAATAAGCTCCTCTTGAAAAGTGTTTTTCACGTCTTTTATAACTTTCACCTCATTTTTTAGCCTAGTGTACGTATTTCTTTCACAAACTTGAAGCAGCTTCCGTTGAAATATCCTTCATTAATTTTATAATTTATCCTTTCAAGTGTTTTAAACAGTGTTTTATTGCTCACCAACCACTTCTATTAGAAGTCTTTACCATTTTCAAATACACAAACCAGCTTTTGTTGGAAGTGTCTTTTACATCACAGTTTTATGCCATTGCATGAATTTTCTTTATATCCTATGTCTATTGTCAATCTTTTTCATTGTGAATGTGTTTGTAAACCACCTAAAAGTTAGAGACATATGTATATGCATGCACACCTTGCTCAAGTAGCGGGTCAATCTCCAATGACCATCGTCCGACCTCTGTCCAAGGCCCATCAGGAGTACTGTCCGAGGGCTCTCCAAACATATCTCCAAGATCAAGTCCTTCCAAGTCCCGGATGCGGTTTGCGTCGCAGATGTCCGTCGCTACCAGAGTAAGTTCTTTATATATTAAAAAAACTTTTAATCTGCGTGTGTTCCAATAACGCTACTTGTAACCACATAACGATTCATACAAAAATGTTACGTAGAATCAACAGTACCGTCTTATTCTTTGGTAGTTTGGTATTTATCTATGAACTTCGCTTTGCATCAGACATCATAGCGCAATGGTATTCTTTATTCAAACTAGGGCATGCTTGAAAAACACACAAAAATAACTGACAATGGAGCTTTATCTATGAAATTCGTTTTGCATCAGACATTATAGGGAAACTGTTATTCTTTATTCAAACTAGGGCATGCTTGAAAAACACACAAAAATAACTGACAATGGAGCTTTATCTATGAAATTCGTTTTGCATCAGACATTATAGGGAAACTGTATTTTTTATTCAAACTATGGCATATTTGAAAACCACACAAAATAGCTGACAATGGAGCTTTATATATGAAATTCGTTTTCATCAGACATTATAGGGAAACTGTATTTTTTTATTCAAACTAGAGCATATTTGAAAACCACACAAAATAGCTGACAATGGAGTTTGACAGTTTGTATCAGTATTCCCTACATTTCTGAGTGTGTGTAGGTGCAACCATTATTCCAATGTGTAAAACAGTAACTTATTAAACCATTTTAAAACCATAGAGATATCTTTGTAGCACCAGCTCACTCTACTAATGTATGTAAAACAGCGCGTATCAAAATACCAAAAACGAGAAAGGTACGTCTAATAAGCTTATAAACATATTCCAAATATGAACCGATACTAATACACTGAGAACACATAGATAAGAGTTGAAGTCATTATTTGGTTTTCTCTAGAGAAAGCTGCTAAGTCTGACTCATTATTAAATTTGCCTCAAATTTGTTCAACCGATCAATAGATTAGGGTCACATAAACATTTCTAAAATTTTGGACATTAATTACTGTAAAAATATATGTTGATAATTTGTTGAACTACACGCCTTAAAATTAGTGCAATTTATTTCAAGTTATTAGTCCATTATGAATTTCCAATGAGATTTGCTCAACAGATGAAAATATATTAACACAAAAAGACGTACTAATGGTCAAGATGGGCGCAGAAATTGCTTGTAATATGTAGGACAGTAGTAACTGGTAATACACGTTTGTTCTGACATAAATAAAGAGCACTGAGACTTACTGTATTGCAAGAAATATTAAACATCACAATATGTGAATAAACGCATCTAAGCAGTTTAATTTTTTTAGTCTCTAGTGTAGTTTTTAGCTATTTCCATTTTAAAATGATATTTTTGAGATATGCATACATAATTCCAGTTTGTCATAGGTTGTTAACATTTTGAAATACGCGAAAGTAAGTAAAATCTGTTAAATTGTAATTTGGAACCGTTGTTTCAATTCAAACCTTGTTACAAAACGGAAGTGTGTCTAATCAGCTCTTCACTGCTACAAATTAGATAATCGACGCATCGTGCCGCCTGCTGAATATTCGATGTTAATTTTGTTGACATAGTAACTATTTTTGGCGGATTAGGCTTATACAGTTTATGCGAAATAAATCAGGATTGAGCCTTTCTCAAACACTAACGAATAACGCTTTATTTTCATTCTTGTTTTTGTTGTTGTTTTAGAAAATGTCTTGTAACTTAAACCAGTCAACACGATTTAGTGAAATGGTTCGAAATAACTTTCGAGATACTGACCAATGCATTAGAAGAAGTAAAGGTAAATAAATGTATTTTTCGATTTTTTTAGAAACAAAATAAGATTTCTAATTAAAACGAATATGTAATTATAATAATGACAACAACTTCAATTAGTTTCCGCTCCCCAGTGGCTCAGCGGTAAGATTGAAGATTTATAACATTAAGAACTAAGTTTAGTGGAAAAACTGCCACAATCTGTGTTGTAGTACAGTTAGAAAATTGAATAAATGAAAAGCTTAATAATCTGATATTTTGTTTTGGTATTTAATAGGAGGAGGAAACCCAACCACCATATTTTGTTTTTCATCCTGATGGTAATGCCATCTTCTATTGGACCGTAAGTTATCCTTATTATTATTTTTACAGTCCAACTTACTACAGTTTCATTATTTAAACCTTAAATATAATTTTCTATGTTTTCGTAATGAGCTTCTTCAGTTGGAGATACAGTGGACATTGTGTAGAAACATGTAGTAAATTGTGAATTAATAATTACTTTTAATGAAAGCAAGCTGCCTACATATATCAGGACTAGAAATCCGCACAGCTAATTCAATCTGTTCTTACGTATAAAGGTTAGAATGCATTGTTTCATCAGTTTGGCACCTTCGCTATCAGCCATATTTTTGGTCGTAATCTCAGTAATATCACACAAGTCTCGACTGCTTAGCGGATTTGGGTTGTTCCTAAATTCATATACTAATCTAAGAATCTAAAACGATCCCGATGATACTAATATATAACAATAAAAACTTACAAGTAAGAAAGAATATATAAACACTAGTAGTTTATTATTGATTTTGTATTTAAGTTATAGTTAGCCTTATAAACAGTTTAGAAAGACATCAGATTTAAAAATAATAAAAAGAAGGATGTCTTCTGTTGCACGACATAGATGAATGTTAAATCTGCTTCATAGCATTGAACCAATGATGTTATTGCTGTGCAAGAATAAAGTGCGTGGACACGTAGTTATGGCCAATGATGGAACATTGTAAGCAAAATAATGAGATTTAGATTATTAGACACGATTGAGAAGAAATATATTATAAACAGAGACTTGCGTAACGACGGAGAAGAAAAAACAGCAATTAATAGTGAATGGAAAACGGAAATTACTGAGTTCATGAATTCCTTGAGCAACCAACTGTAAGAGACAAAAGATCCATGGAAACGATGAGCTGGATGTAAATATTGCGTCGTGGAATATATAAGTAGATGAAAACTAATCAGACCTCGTTGACTAAATTAAAACGTGAAATGAAAACTGCAATAGAAAAGTAGTAAATGAAATGATAGAGAGAGTGAAAACTGGCGAAATCAATGAGCGAATGAATATCTTATAACAAAACGTACATCAGAAAGATTTATGAGAAGTGACGGAAATAAAATCTGGTGACTTCGTGTTTAACTAGTCCTTAATTGGATTAGAAGTGATTGTTGGTATGTTTGTTGATTATCATGCAAAGCTACTCGTAGGCTATCTGCGCTAGCCATACATAATATTAAAAAGATAAACTAGATGAAAAGCAGCTAGTCAACACCGCCAACAATTGGACTACACTTTACCATTGAATAATTAGATTGACATCACATTATAACGCTCCCACGAAGGAAAGGGTGAGCATTTTTTATGATGGGTTTCGATCCCACGACCTGCAGATTGCCGTTATTAATAGTGCTGAAATATTATATACTTAACAAGACATAAGGATCACGACTATCAGAAGTGTAAATATTTTTTGAATAACGCTATAAATTATTATTGTATTTATGGGTAAAACCACACACATTTTTAACTACTTAGAAAACATATCGGGTTTTATAATACCTACAAAATAAAATTTTGGAATGTTTATTCTCAACTTCATGTCATCTGTTAAAAGCTAATCAACTTAAAGTCTACACGAGATAATATTACATAGCTTACTTTTGAATGGAAACTGTGAAATAACTTGTTTTTAATATTCTAGGGTCTTGTCTGCATCACAGTTATGTACAATTTCTGGATTGTGATTTTGAGACTGGCCTTCCCAGAACTTAGCCATGAGGTAAAGACATTTTACAAATAAGTAAACAAAGATAAAGACTTTTATTTTAATAAGGAAACTGATATGAAACAGGAAATCATCCAAACCTCTGTACATAAAGATTGAAACATATTCAGTTTATATATCTTTCTGGGAAGCCCTTTGAAATATTTAACTACAGGTTAGTATAAACACTTTACAATGTTTATAAACTAAAATAATAATTTGATTTTTACATGTTTGTAGTTTCTGTTTCTTCGATAAAGAACTAAAGCTTTTTGTTTGTCTTCAGTTATTCAGATCTGTTCTTGGAAATTTGATTATATTATGACCTGTGTTCATCCTTTCAGTCTGCAGCTCGGTACATCTTTTTAATTGACACAGTTTGTGATCTCATTTACATCTGTGATATTGGAATTCAGCTAAGGACAGCATATCTTGTAGACGGTATTCCGGTAAGTACTGTGAAATGTACTCTTAATTAATAAATTGTTGGATTTAAAAAATAAGAAATAAAGTTTTTAAAAGGAGTGAGAATATGCTGAAATAAAAACAATTTAATAAGAGATAATATCTGGTAGTTGACATTTTTCAGCCAGAACAGCACCTTATGCGTCACACAGGTTAAACGACAATGTTTCCCAAGGTTCAAGCATAGCCAATCCTAATTTTTAGAGCTGCTGGAACCTTAGACCTTCGAATTCACAGCCTTGGATTAGACTATGTCCGACCCAGTGAGGAATAAAATAAAGGAGATTAATAAAATAATGGAGACACAAAGACAAGATCATCGTATATAAAAAATGGATGATTAGAAGATTGTAGAAATGTGGAGAGACGAAAGATATAGATTAAAAACTAATGAAAAGTGAGGGATGTAATAGAATAAAGAAACAAGAAGATAAAAAAGAAATAAAGATCGGTAAAAGGACAATAGAATAAAGTGATGAAGAAGATACAAGTTATAAGAAGACGAAGAGACGAAACATAAGAATTAAAGGTGGGAGAAAAACATGATGACGAAGAAAAACAAGGAGATGGAGAGGCAGGAGAGAGTGAATGATTAAATAAAAATTGATAAAAAAACGGTGAAAAGAAATTATGAATTACAAAGGACTATTAAATAAAAAAGGAAAGAAGATAAAAAAGTAAATGAAGAATGGAGAGAAAGGGCAAACATAAAAAGTAAAATAAACCAAAAATCTTAAACAATATGAAAGTTTTTTGACAACTTAAAAGACCCAGAAAAGGTTATAATTTGTTCTCTTTAAAAATAAAATGCTCAATATACGTAAAACATTGTTAAACCAGTCAGGTTGTCTCCAGAAAAAGTGATTACTGGGAAAAGCCAAATGAAGTTGTTTAGATTTGAGGAATAAAAATATACTCTGGACATAGATATTTTACACACTAACATTTATATAGTATCTTGGCAGTAACTAAATAACACCCTGATTTTTCAACATTTCTAAAAGTGTACATACGTAACAGATTATTAGATTAGAGTGTAAAAATATTCGGATGTTCTAAAAAATTGGATATTCTTCAACCCTGGTGGTTAGACAAGCCTATAATAATGTATTTTTTTCTTCTTCTTTTTTTGCAAATATTAACACTAAGATTCAATTTTGTAGCATATTGACTACCTTGTATAGTTTCGTGTTTTTTAAACCGGGTTCATTGTTAAAGGCCCCCACCAGTGGCACAGCGGTATGTCTGCGAACTCACAACGCTAGAATCCGGGTTTCGATACCCGTGGTGGGCAGAGCACAGATAGACCATTGCGTAGCTTTGTGCTTAATTACAAAAACAAAACAAACATTATTAAAGAGAGAGAGAAGTGAATAAAAACAAGTCCACCAGACAAACGGGGGTGGACATGGAGTTCTCTGTCCTCGCTAGCTGTTCAATTAAATGTTGCTACACGTAAGATGGAGTGAGCAGATCGACCATGTTGTTCTCATCTTACGAATCACGTTCTTCTATTCATTACTCTGTTTCTATAGATACATATTCATCAATCAAAGCTAACTTATTTTCAAAGGGAGTTTAATAAAACTACTAAGCCTACTGATTTTATATTCAGATATGAAATTACACAAGTAACTTAAAACAAAAGCGATAAACATTATAAATAAAGTATATTTCTTGTCAAAGATCCTGAAATATTTTATAAACTTCACTTTACATGATAAAAACAACAACAAAGTTATGCCTACATTGTGTATTACGACAAATCAAAGACTGTCAACACTGTGTATTACAACAAGCCCAAGATTGTCTACATAGTGTAGTACAAAGGGTTAAGCTACACGATGTAATACAAGAAGTCAAGAACTGTCTAAGTAGTGAAGTGCAACACAATGTATTACAAGTCAAAGACTGTCTACACAATGTAGTACAAGTCAAGAACTGTTTACATTATGTATTACAACAGGTTAAGTTATATCTACACGGTGTAGTACAACAAATCAAAGACTGTCTACACAATGTAGTACAACAAGTCAAGGACTATTTACATTATGTATTACAACAGGTTAAGTTATATCTACACAGTGTAGTACAACAAATCAAAGACTGTCTATACGGCGACAATG